GCTAAAGTCCTTCTTCGACAACAATGTCTGGTTCATTGACGATGCCAACAACTCTGAGGAGAAGCGCGTCCTAAAGGCCCACTTCATACTCCAATGGAAGAAGCACCCTGATGGCTCGCCACGAGCGAAGGCGAGATTGGTGGTTCAAGGATTTCGAGACCCAGATGCATTGTCTGGCAAGCTCAACACCACGGCTCCAACCTTGACAAGGCTTTCCCGCAACATGGTGATGGCTGTGTGCACTATGCTGGGGATGTTGCCATTTACAGCAGACATCACGACAGCCTTTTTGCAAGGAAAGCCCTATCGACCTGAAGCTGACCGAGTTCTTTGGATCAAGCTGCCAAAGGATGGAGAGACCATCCTTGGATTGGAGCCTGGCCACAACAAGCTGATGAAGCTCATCAAACCAATGTACGGGCTATGCGATGCTCCGAGAGCCTGGTTTGAAGAAGCTTCTGAACGAATCCTACGAGCTGGAGAAGGGAAGATTGTTCAGCATCCTCTTGATGCATGTTGCTTCCTGGTCTTTGACAGGCCCCCAGCACCACCTGCTGAAGGAGAAGATGAAGCCGAGCTCATCGCCATCTTTGGGCTGCATGTGGATGATCTTTTTGGATGCGTCCTACAGGATGATCCTCGAGGAGAAGAACTTCAAAAGACTTTGAAGGGCATCTTCAACTTTCGTGAATGGGTCACAGGTGATAGCCTGGAGTACTGTGGGTGCCAGGTTGAGAAGATCGGCGACAACAAGTGGAAGCTCTTCCATGAGAACTATGTCAAGAAGCTGAAGCCGATCAGCGTGGAGAAACATCGTGCTGGACAAGATCTTCCGGTGACAGAAGGAGAGAGGACCCAACTTCGGGCTTTGCTGGGTGCACTGCAATGGCCTTCAACGCAGACCAGCCCCCACCTCCAGTCACAGGTGAGCATGCTCTCCGGGGAGATCACCAAGGCAACCATCAAGACCTTGGAGTCCGCCAACAAGACACTTCGTTTTGCTAAGGCCAACTCTGACTGTGGCCTGATGTTTCAACATGTTGCAGATCGACATCAAGTGAGCTTCATGGCCTACTCCGATGCAAGCTTTGCTACGAGGAAGGATTTGTCTTCCCAAGGAGGCTACATGGTGCTCATGACCAACAAGGAGGTGACCAACAACGGCCATGAGGGGAACTACGTGGTTCTGGACTGGCGAAGCTGGAAGCTGGCGAGGGTAGCACGGAGCACCTTGAGTGCAGAATCACAAGCAGCTTCGGAGGCTGCAGATGCCTTGCTCTATGCCGCCACCTTCTGGAACCTCATTTGGTCTCCGTGGAAGCCGCTTGGTGACGTCGAGACAGCAAGGACTGAGAATGAGTCAAAGCTGGTGATCGACGCAAAGGCGCTCTACGACCTGCTGATCAAGGAAGAGGTCCAAGCATCAACAACTTCGGACAAACGAACGACAATAGAAGTCTTGGTGACCCAGGACAAGCTTGGATGCTGCAATGGCAAAACAACTTGGGTGTCCTCTGAGCTGCAGTACGCAGATGGCTTGACAAAGGAGTCTGCTGGCCAGCTACTTGCTGACAGGCTGCGTTCACACATCACGCGCCTCAAGACGGACGAGACCTTTCAAGCCTCCAAGAAGAAGGACGCTGCGACCCGCAAGCGCAACACCGAGATGTATGCCATCAAGAAGCCCAAGCGTGCCATGCAGGCGTTGTTCGCTTTGGCCAATGGCGTCTATGGCGAGATCTACAACAATGACAAGTGCGAGATTCAGGACAAGACCTACTCCGATGGCATGTTCTACCTGACCATCCTGGCCACGCTCTTCATGACGATCGTGACGATCTTTGCGGGCATGTGGTGGTGGCATGGCAGAGCTGCTACAGCTCATCCGGAACCCGACCAAGAGCAGGAGCCCGACAGCGAAATGGTGCAGCTACTTCGAGACGAAGTGAGCCACCTCCAAACGGAGCTGGATGCGCACCGAGCTGACAAGGTTCGACTGCAAGGAGCTTTGGACGACAGGATTGTGGACTACCAGCAGCTGCTCAAGCGCTACAAGGACTTTCAAGCAGATCATGGTCCTCAAGCTGCTCTACAATCAGTCCAAGCTGCCGCCAAGAACCCGATCTACAGGGATCAAGGCTCTCGCTACTGGCACTCGAACTACTACTGTGCCAAGAGCTTCACGGACAGGGAGATCTACGAGATCAAAGATGCAGCCCTAACTTGGGAGGAAGCAACAACAGACCAAGAGGAGCTGATCGAGCATCTACCCCTGCAAGGGCCTGGAAAATTGGCGACTTAGCCGATGCACGTGCCAGAGGAGAAGGAGTCTGACCAGACTTTTCTTTCTCTACTTTCGACCCGTGTGAGTTGCGTAATACACAACATGGGTTTGCACCTATCTTTTCCCTTTTGGTGGCTCTTTGGGCCCAACTGTTCGTAGGGAACAAGGGAGCCCTAGGGATTCAGAGACTTTGGCTGCGCTGACGCGCCCCCTGCCATAGCAAAAGGGCGCTTCCGGCTTTTGAGTTGTGCTGCACTTCGTGTGGCGGTTGCAACTGGTGTTTTAGCCCTGCTACACCAACAACCATGATTTCCGGTGAAGATTTTCCCTTAAACCAATCCAATGTGCCGCATCGTATGGCAGCGTGGCATTCGCATGCCACGTTGCTGTGCGTTTGAAGCATCGCCAAAAAAACGCCCGAAATTTTTGATGGTTTGAAGCATCATTTTCCCCATATTTTAATGGCCATGTTGAATCATGTTGAAAATATTGGGATGTTCCCCATTGTTATCATTGGACAGAGCTAAATCCACGATTCACGAGCGTCAAATCATGAAATCACAAGCAATCACATTGCTGTTTTGTCCCTTAATTCGTTGCTTCTAAATTCCAGCTCTTGATTCTTCAGCAACTATCTTACTGGTGCGCTTTACGTAGGGTTGCTGGATGGGTTGCTGGGGGTTGCTGGGATGATGAAATTGATAGGTAGCCAGTGGATCATTCCCATCCATTCCCTAAGGAAGTATAATTTGAAAATACAGTAATTTTCTTCGGGAATCATCCCTAAGGATAGTGTATGACTAAGCACCAGTACCCTCTGGTAATTTGTTACATAGCTATTGAAAATGGCCCAGTCGAAATAGTGGATTTACCCATGAAAAATGGTGGATCTTTCCATAGCTACGTTAGTTTACCAGAGGGTAAGCTATTCACTGATCACATTTTGGCTCAGCTCATGACACGCCTGGTCCTTATTGAGCTCGTTGAGCCGGAGCAAGTCCAAGCCCCAGGGAGGTCCCCAGAGTCTTGCCGGGGCAGCTGCATAAAACTATAAATATATAAATATTAATTAGACATATTGATTATACACATATATTCTTAACATATATACATAAATTATTGTACCATATATATATATATATATATGATATTATATATATATGTATATATATATATATAGTTGCATTTTTTTTTGGGGGGGGGGAGTGGTTGTTTTTAAACAATACTGTAGAATGTAGCATTTGATTTTTGATTTGCGTTCTCCTTCGGGTGGTAGGATTGACCCCATTTGTCTTAAAATAGGGTGGCAGGGTACTTGCTAAAATTCGATGGTGTATCAATGTTCATCATCACTCTCCAAAAATTATGAACATTGGCATACATACTGAATATATTGGGGGGCCCATCCCCCCATTTTTGGATGGAGTCCAATATTTTCTTATGAACAATTCCATGAAACATATCCATGAACGCCCATTTAATCACCATTGAATCACGACAAGACGACCCTTTATTTATCCTTTTGTACTTCAACATAGCCATGGTGAATCATTTTGAATGGGTAAATCACCGAAGTAAATGGGCAAACAATGCCGCCAAGTGTCAACGATTGGACCCCAGGAACCTTTGGCGATGTCCTTGGAACGCTCGGAAGCTGCTTGGGATCCCCAGGATGCCCCAGGATGGTTTTTTAGTGCCACAGAAGTTGGGGATATCATGGGATTTTCGAGTGGGAATGTCATGGGGTGATATCATGGGGATATCATAATGGGGATCAAATGGGATGTAGCCTAGCCAGCATTTTTTAATGGTTTGGTATGTGAAAATTGGGCATCTAAACCCCTGCTACATGGCAACATTTCTGGGCATTGACACATGATGATGTTTTAAAGCATCGAACTTGAAGGTACCCTGCTTTCAGACAAACCCATTTGATGAACCAATATAGCAGTGGTAAAACCAAACGGTTCCTTAGACCTTGTTTGTTTGGTTTTTGGATGTTTTTGGTGTGTGCTATTGCATTCGTCATGGTTTCGTTCGGCTGGGGCATTGCCCCCCGCCCGATGCTGAACCTCCGGGATGGCAATGGAGAAAGAGAGAGAGAGAGAGATCTATACACCATGATTACCCTCTGGTAAACAGCCACGTAACTATGGAAAGGTCCACCATTTTTAATGGGACAACTCACTATTTCGCCATTTTCCAGTTCGCTTTTTGTATGTTTACCAGGCCGGGTAACCACACCATTCGCTAAGGGTTCGCGACCACGATGAAATCAATGGGAAATCCCACCGCGGGTTTTTTGTGACTGGCGCTCAGGCAAGCACCCCATTTACAGACGACCTGACCTTGGTTCGCTGTGATTTTTGCTGCAGAAAATTTTGAGGAAACATAATATATATATAATATATAATATAAGATATTCCATATAATCTATAATATATATAACATAATATAATATGAATATGATATAACAGTCCAGCTAAAGATAGAATTGGCTGCATGAATCACTCAAAAATGATCTGAAAAAGCATTTTGTTCGACATATTCAGGTGCATTCAAAAACTGGTCGTTGTAGCCAGGAAACAACTTTAGTTGGCTGAAGTTTAGCACGTCAAGATTCTCTTTTGTGCAGCGAGGCTTCCCCGTCGAATATGGATTGCAGAGGCAAGGTGCATGTCAGGAATGGACAGGGCCAGTACATGGCAAATGGCAAATGCCAGCCATCCTGAAGTCTGTTGTTCACGGCTCTCCCCCAACTGAAGGAGACAACCATCACCACCACCATATACATGGCCCTCTTGACCGTTCGAAGGCATCGTTCTTTGACCGTTGGCAGATTGTGTGATCTCGCACGTGACAGAAGAGTGGGCAGAGTCCTGTTCTTCGATTTCATGTCGGAACTTGTTCATGGGGTTTCCTTGCTAGTTCTTTGGAAAATGTGCACGTCAACATTTGGAAGCCACTTCTTCTTGCAGGCTTTGGGGATTGGCAGCTTGAGCTTCGAGCCGGTGCCTTGAGGATGTTTCCAGACTCCATGTTCTCCCACCAAATAATTCGCTAGTTCGCCTTTCTGTTCGAGGCCTATTTTCAATCAGAAGTACAATGCCAAAAGGGTTGCCAAAGAAACACCCGGTTTCCTCTGCCTGCAGCGGCTGTTGCCCATTGTGACTCTTGGACCGCAGCATGCCACAGCCGTGGCCGGACCGCTGGGATGCACTGGGCTGGATGCACTTTGCCATCCCAAGGATTGGCTTGTTGACGGCTGCAGCAGCTGTAGTGGTGTTCTCCTCAAAATTCACCACCGGTGAATCGATGCTGTTGTGGTGACTGGCTGAGGTGGGCTACGTTAGTGAACTTCTGGGGGACCTGCGGACTGAAAAGGTAAATGAGCTCATTGTGGAAAGCTGAGTTTTGTGTTTTTTTTTTTTCCCATCTCCATCATTTGATTTTGCTTCGGATTTAAAGCAAAGCTTTGAGAAGCTTTGGATAGGATTTTAGCTTAAACATCGCCCAAACCCTATTTAATATTTTAAATCCCATTAAATCACCATTCTTCACTGTTCACACCACTGATCTGGTCCTGGTTCTCCTGGTGGGCCAAGGTCTCACGCGGATGGCTGATTGCTTGGGCGGCAGGTTGGGATAGGCTTTCGTAACGTGTCGCCACGTTGCAGTGCACTACACATATGCACGGCATGCAGACATACAGAAACACAGAAAGACAGACACACACAGAGACTTACATGCATAGATGGATAGATGGATAGATGCATAGATGTATAGATGCATAGATGGATAGATGCATAGATTTATAGATGCATAGATGGATAGATGCATAGATTTATAGATGCATAGATGGATAGATGCATAGATTTATAGATGCATAGATGGATAGATGCATAGATGGATAGATGCATAGATGGATAGATGCATAGATTTATAGATGCATAGATGGATAGATGCATAGATTTATAGATGCATAGATGGATAGATGCATAGATTTATAGATGCATAGATGGATAGATGCATAGATTTATAGATGCATAGATGGATAGATGCATAGATTTATAGATGCATAGATGGATAGATGCATAGATTTATAGATGCATAGATGGATAGATGCATAGATTTATAGATGCATAGATGGATAGATGCATAGATTTATAGATGCATAGATGGATAGATGCATAGATTTATAGATGCATAGATGGATAGATGCATAGATTTATAGATGCATAGATGGATAGATGCATAGATGGATAGATGCATAGATGGATAGATGCATAGATTTATAGATGCATAGATGGATAGATGCATAGATATATAGATGCATAGATGGATAGATGCATAGATTTATAGATGCATAGCTGGATAGATGCATAGATTTATAGATGCATAGATGGATAGATGCATAGATTTATAGATGCATAGATGGATAGATGCATAGATTTATAGATGCATAGATGGATAGATGCATAGATTTATAGATGCATAGATGGATAGATGCATAGATTTATAGATGCATAGATGGATAGATGCATAGATTTATAGATGCATAGATGGATAGATGCATAGATTTATAGATGCATAGATGGATAGATGCATAGATTTATAGATGCATAGATGGATAGATGCATAGATTTATAGATGCATAGATGGATAGATGCATAGATTTATAGATGCATAGATGGATAGATGCATAGATGTATAGATGCATAGATGGATAGATGCATAGATTTATAGATGCATAGATGGATAGATGCATAGATGTATAGATGCATAGATGGATAGATGCATAGATTTATAGATGCATAGATGGATAGATGCATAGATTTATAGATGCATAGATGGATAGATGCATAGATTTATAGATGCATATATGGATAGATGCATAGATTTATAGATGCATAGATGGATAGATGCATAGATTTATAGATGCATAGATGGATAGATGCATAGATGTATAGATGCATAGATGGATAGATGCATAGATTTATAGATGCATAGATGGATAGATGCATAGATTTATAGATGCATAGATGGATAGATGCATAGATTTATAGATGCATAGATGGATAGATGCATAGATTTATAGATGCATAGATGGATAGATGCATAGATTTATAGATGCATAGATGGATAGATGCATAGATTTATAGATGCATAGATGGATAGATGCATAGATTTATAGATGCATAGATGGATAGATGCATAGATTTATAGATGCATAGATGGATAGATGCATAGATTTATAGATGCATAGATGGATAGATGCATAGATTTATAGATGCATAGATGGATAGATGCATAGATGTATAGATGCATAGATGGATAGATGCATAGATGTATAGATGCATAGATGGATAGATGCATAGATTTATAGATGCATAGATGGATAGATGCATAGATTTATAGATGCATAGATGGATAGATGCATAGATATATAGATGCATAGATGGATAGATGCATAGATTTATGATTTATAGATGCATAGATGGATAGATGCATAGATTTATGATTTATAAGATGCATAGATGGATAGATGCATTAGGCTTATAGTGCATAGATGGATAGTGCATAGATGTAAGTTGCATAGATGATAGAATTGCTAGATTTATAGATGAATAGATGGATTAGATGCATAGATTATAGATAGATGGATAGATGGCATCGATTTATAGATGCATAGATGGGATTAGATGCGCATAGATTTATAGATGCATAGATGGATAGATGCATTAGATTATAGATGCATAGATGATAAGATGCATAGATGGATAGATGCATAGAGGGATTAGATGCATAGATGGATAGATGCATAGATGTATAGATGCATAGATGGATAGATGCATAGATGGATAGATGCATAGATTTATAGATGCATAGATGGATAGATGCATAGATGGATAGATGCAGAGATGTATAGATGCATAGATGGATAGATGCATAGATTTATAGATGCATAGATGGATGATTTTATAATGCAGAGATGGATAGATGCATAGATTTCTGATTTATAGATGCATAGTGGATTAGATGCATAGATTTATAGATGCATAGATGGATAGATGCATAGATTTATAGATGCATAGATGGATAGATGCATAGATTTATAGATGCATAGATGGATAGATGCATAGATTTATAGATGCATAGATGGATAGATGCATAGATTTATAGATGCATAGATGGATAGATGCATAGATTTATAGATGCATAGATGGATAGATGCATAGATTTATAGATGCATAGATGGATAGATGCATAGATTTATAGATGCATAGATGGATAGATGCATAGATTTATGATTTATAGATGCATAGATGGATAGATGCATAGATTTATGATTTATAGATGCATAGATGGATAGATGCATAGACTTATAGATGCATAGATGGATAGATGCATAGATTTATAGATGCATAGATGGATAGATGCATAGATTTATAGATGCATAGATGGATAGATGCATAGATTTATAGATAGATGGATAGATGCATAGATTTATAGATGCATAGATGGATAGATGCATAGATTTATAGATGCATAGATGGATAGATGCATAGATTTATAGATGCATAGATGGATAGATGCATAGATTTATAGATGCATAGATGTATAGATGCATAGATGCATATATGCATACATGAGTAGATGCATAGATGTGTAGATGTTTAGATGCGTAGCTGCTACATGCATGGATGCACAGACGTTAAAAACTATTCATACATTCAATATATATACATGGCGGACAGATGCGCACCCACCCACCCACCCACCCACCCACATACACACACACACATTCCTGCGCATGCGGCACAGGTTCTTAGATTTGTTAGCTTTACTAAGCTTGGTGCTGCAAAGTGGCTAGTTGCGAAAACGGGATACAGCACATCAACAATCCCAGTTCTGGGCAATGCGCCAGAATTTGTTATGATGACCGTCCTTGCGCTAGCTGCCGGCTTCCTTGTGTACCCCACGCCCGTTTTTGGCGCTTTTCAGCTGCTGCGTGTGAAATGAGCCGCTGCATTCTTGAATCAAAACAGGTACAGTGGAGACATCACTGGCACAAAATCTGCAGGGTGTCCACCTCAGTCTCGCCATCTCAGCTGACATAGCTTGCCACTGGAAGATTTCCGATTTGATCCTCGGACCCAGAGCTTTCACACCGTGTTTTCTGGGTCAAGTTAAAGCATAGGATAGGATAGGAGAAGTCACTGCAGCAACTGTCTGCAATGTCGTCCGTTCCCATGTTGGGTTTGCTAGGACTTCGCCAACAGGGCAGCCAATCCAATGCATCCAATGCATCCAATGCATCCAATGCGGCCGCCTCGGCCGCCTCGGCCGGGAAATCTCCAAATGCTAAGGTGTCTTGGCTGCCCAGCTTAGCTCGACAGCCCACCTCAGATGGGACCCTTGAAACCGGCAATGGCAACGATGGCGTTGGCAAAGGTGCTGCATCTGCGGTGCCAACGACCGTTCCAACACCCCGTGTGGCAGAGCCTCTTCCAGTTCTTCTGGGTCGAACACGTTTCAATCCTCAGCGCACCAGGAATGCTGAGTCAGAGGCTTGCGCACAAGCTGCTCGAGAAGCTTTCCTGGAAAGGCAAGCACGCAGGGCCAGTAGAGTGACCGGTTGAGTAGTTAGAGCATCGTTGCATTGGCTCGTCGTTGCAAGAGTTTTTCACGGGATTGCCTCAAGAGTGATCCTGCTTGGCCGGCTGCAGCTGAAGATGTACAGGAAATTGTTTGCAGCAGTGCTGTCAAGCACTGGTTGGTTGCCTTGCCTCGAGATCACTGCACTAGCGGTGATCTGCTGATGTTTGTGAGCCCATTATGCTGCACATAGTATTTGGGTCACAGCTTGCGTGCAAAAGACATGCTGAAACTTTGCAAACAAAGATATCCTTCTTTCTAGACCCGAGCGAAGTTTGAACGATCCATTCGTTCGAATTCAGATGCAAAAGACTGGCGCTCACGCCCAAAACAAGCTCTGGGGCTCTGGGGCAACTTATGTGCTGGTGCTTTGCCGGGTTTGGCAGCGAGACTTGAGGGTAAGAAAGATCTAGCAGAGGTCTACCCCCTTTTGTTATCTTTTGTTTATTTTGGTTCTCTGACCTCACTAAGGAAGATCCCATTTGGTTCTCCCATTTCTGTGTCTCCAGCCAGTGATTTCATGACCAAAAAGCAATGGCTTTTCCCAGCTTTTCTCCGTCCGAGGTCCTCGGGCATTCCGCAGCTCATCGGTTTGCTGAATGGCTGTGACCTGAAAGGCGAGTTTAGTTTAAGGTCGGGAGTCCCAGGCAGCCCCAGGAAGTCAGGAAGCCCCGGCCCCTGCGCGGTGTGCAAGGCCTATGAGAAAAGGCGTGATTCAGCCAATCTCAACAGATGCTATGGGATATTTGTATATCTATATATATAATGTAATAATAAATATTATATGATATTTATATAATATAATATTTATATAATATAATATTTATATAATATATTTAAAATTTATAATATATATTTATACAATAAAATGTTAAACATGTTACTCGTCCATTACTGCATGTGATGATTCAACCCTGGGAGATCTCATAGTTACGGCGTGACTCCTGCAGTTATGTCATTGTGGGATGCACCATGCCACGCAAGGCATGGCTTGGTCAAGTGGTTCGGTGTTTGCCTGGCGGTGGCCTCTGGCTTGGCAGTTGGGCCGGAAGGTCCCATGATCTTCATTGGTGCCTCAGCGAAGAGATCTTAGATGAGCATTTTTTGGCACACAGATTTTTCGAGATTCAAAAGCGCCACGAAAGTGAACCATTTTTTTTCGAATCCATTCTCCGTTGTTTTTGTTTTAACACTATGTATGCGTGTGCTTTCTAATTATTAAAGTCATGTTTTTCCTGGTCTCCAGCAGGTTGGTCTGTTTTCATGTTGAACTATTGGTTGCCAACCGTTGGCAGTGCTTTTCGTGATGTTCATCCATGTTCATCCCCTTTTTTTAGCCAAGTGCCAAGGTGCGTGCATCGGCTTCTATTGTTCTCGTTTGCCACAGATCTTCAGCACTCCACCTGCTACAGTTGGCCAGGATCTCAGATATCGGACTTGACTCGCTCGACACGGACGCTGATAGTGACGCTGATGTACTTCTGTGAAGATTGCCATCACTGACTCTGATGATTCTGATGTATTCTGTGACCTTCTGGATTTGTATCACCATTTTCTAAATCAGTTACGCCGAGTTTCCCTTTGTTGTTGGCATGAAGGGCATGCAGTGATCTTCAGGTGACGATGTCTACACGCGTGACTACACTTCCATTGGTGCGGCGTGTGGTATTGCAGCCGCCTTTCGTGCACCCATAGTACCTTGGCAGACAGTCACTGCAGTCAGGGAATGTATGGGGAAGAGTTGAGGGATATGGGATATCTATATAATTCTTATATACATATCCAATAATGTAATATAACCAAATAATATAATATAATATAATGTAAATATTTACACTATATATGCGATGCACTGTAGTTATACATGACACACGCACATATATATATATATATAAATGTATATATAAATATAAAAATAACTGTATACATATAAGTATAAATATATAAATATAAATAAAATTATACACATATAAATATATTAAAAAACATGAATATAACAATATAAATCTAAATATTAATATAGAAATACACACACATATATATATATATAAATATAAATAAATATAAATATAAGTGTTTTTCTCTTTTCGAAAGTTTGTTGTTTTCCATCAAGGCTGGAACCCTCTTCATTGTGGAGGAGGCCTCATCTCACTTCAAAAAGGAGCAGATGTCAAACATCTTCTATGGAGGTTGGGTCACGCATTGGATTTTTTTTGTTTGGACTGTTTGGGGTTTTAGATTGGGGTAGACCCTGAGCTATATATCTACCTTCTATGGATTTTTTGTCCAAGTTGGTGACTGTTGGTTCACTGGCACCAGCGCTTGTCTGATGCAGGTTTGGCTGCTTTGGAGGCAACATCCTTAGCAAATCATCAGCTGACCATATCCTTTGGTTCACCCCGAGAATCCCTGAGATAAGTTTGTCTGAACACATAAAGGTATGCCAAGATCCAGTGGTTGACCATCATTTTCCTCACATTTCAATGATTTTCAATGATTCTAGATAAGAATATACCATCGTATATCCCAGTGCTGGATCCAAGCCTGAGGTCATGTTGTTAGCTGGTGGTGCTGGATCTGTTTTGGAGTACAAGGCAGCCGTTGTCAAAACATCTCACCATGTCTGCAGAGTTGGCTGGAGCAGGTGCAAGTTGGTCCAGGTTGTAGCGACATCCCTTATTGGCCGGGCACTTTCAGCTCTCCATTGAGATATTTACGAGACATCCCTGAACAAATCATGTTCAAAATCTCTGGTTTCTCCCAAATCCCCAAACAATCACTCAGATCTTTTCAGATCTTTTCAGATCTTTTCAGATCTTTTCAGATCTTTCAGTGCTGAGGACCTTGATTTTCTGCATCATCGTGGGCCTTCTCTGTGGGCTTTTGGGAGCTGCTTTCAATGCCCTGAACATCCAGGTGGGGCGCCCTGTCTCACCAGCCGGTGTAGTACGGCGAGTCGTTGGGCGGCTCGGGGCAGGTCATGGTGTGGAGATCCAAATGGTGCAATGCATCGATGTCTGGGGGCCTCGGTGGGCAGGTGGCTTTGGGTGTTTGATCCATTTATCCTCTGGTAATTTAACATAGCTATGGAAAATGGCCATTTATAGTGGATTTACCCATTAAAAATGGTGATTTTCCATAGTTATGTTAGTTTACCAGAGGGTATCCCATATGAAAAGGTTCAAAGTTGGCAGGGGTGAGCTGTGGGAAACCACAGGACCCACAGCTCAGGGGTTCCCCAATGGCTTCCCCCTGAGGCCCAAACGCCGTGCGTTTGAACTGGTGCTGCTCTGTGCCTTGAGTTCCACAGCCTGGCTGGCCTCTGCCAGCATGTTCAGTGAGCGTGAGGTGGGACCGTTATGTTGAGGTTTCCTAAAATAGGGGTACCATCGGGGTACCCCCAATCAGCCAAATTAGATCAAATTAGACTATTTTAGTATCTTCAAACCCATGGTTTTGGGGTACCCACATTTTAGGAACCCCCCATGATTGCGCCGTTGCAGGGTTCAAAAGGATTGGATCGGGTTGTAAATCATTCACGCCACTTCTTGAAGGCCACTTCGTCGGTTCTCCTTCCGCAAAGCAGTGGTTGCATCAAGGATGACCTCAAGAACCAGGCTCCACCAGCTGCAGGTCTGTGTAGATTTGGCTTTGTCTGAAAATCATGTATCCCCAATTCCCCAAAATTCCAGCAGATCATCATTTCTCCCTATTTTCAGAGCCATGTGGGCGCCATGACTTCCACCTGGGTGTTTCTTGACGCGCCAGCTCATCACTGGATCAGCGGTGGAACCGGACCTCAAGAATGGTGGCCTGGCCCAGCGCCTGATGCCAGCCTCGTGTTTGTATGGCTTGCAAGTTGGGCCTGCTTGCAACGAGGCAACTGCAACGGGTACCATGGGGGCCATAGGGGTGCCATAGGGCCTGCCATATGCCATGCTACTGGGGTAGTGAGATATTCTGTGAGCCCAATCTGTTTAGAGGGACTGCCAGTCCTCTCTGATCCGATCGGAAAAAATCTCAGTTCTGAGCATATCATGACCAGCCCAGCAGGGACACAATGCAACAAAGCAACACTTTGTGAGACTTTGTACCCTCTGGCAATTATCATCACATTGCTAGTAAATCATCATTGTTATTCTTCATTGTTGATATAACAATAACTAGGTTATTGTTATTATTATAGCATACTATAACCATCATTCATTGCAATTTAATTGATGATTATTAAATTGATGGTTATAAAGTTATAACCATCCATTAATGTTGATTATTATAACTATCATCGGTTTTTAAATGGCCATTTAATGCATAACAATTTCCGATCCCCAGAGGCGTCGCCTTGGCACCGGAGCAGGTTCATGAGAAAGCCGCAACGGGTAGCTGGTACGCCAGGAGTTGCATCCAAGCTGCAGGGAAACCAAGTGAGTGAACTGCGTGAGTTTTGGCAAAAGTCCAACATGAAGATGTCCATTTGATGTCTGATTTGGTACTGTATTATAAGAATAAACGAATAAACTATAGAAATAATTATGTAGAAGCATCATTATCATGGTTCCCATGATTATCATGAGCTATCTAAGATCTAGTCTTTGCGCCCTTTTGTGTGGGTACAAGATGGTACAAATTCATATTCTGTAGGACGGAAATGGCTCGATTGGTGATTGTCTGCCGCTAGCTATCAAAATTTGAGATTCTGATTCTACGATTCTACAGCAGATCGGTTCTTCTTTCAACACACTGAAGAAGCTCCGATAGGTTGTGCAGCTGTAGGATTTTGCTATTGCTGCTATGGGCTGGACCTCTGCTGTAGGTGAACACTTCCACAATGAGAGCGAAGAAGAATTTTAAGGACTGCTGGCAGATAAGATCCGCTGGACCATGGGCCACAATATCTTGTGCCATTGGCTGAACCTTTTTTACGGTGGGTCTGTCTGAGAATAGGGTATATACCGATACCATTCCGATACCGCCTTCATGCCCCTTTCCATTGGTTAATCACACTTTTTCCTATCTCAAAATGGCAAAAAAAACTTGGGGCTTGTCTAGTCAATAATTTTCAGACCATTTCAGAGGAAGATCTTGGAACCACACTGGCTGTCCTTTTCACCTCATGCACAGCTCTGTTTGGCCACCTCCTCTCCCAATGGAGAGTAGGATGTAGTCATGATGTAGTCATGATGTAGTCATGATGTAGTCATTATAGTTGAAATTAGTTGAGTAATGTTTTGACATGTTTGGACCATTTGGCCATCTTTTTTCAGCGGTAGGACTATTGTTGCAGCTTCACCGACTCTGCTGCCCTGGAGAAGGGCATTTTTCAGGTGCCACGGTTCGTTGACGTTCGGGGACACGGCGGACACGGTGAGGTCGTTGGACCATCGGCCCATCGGCGCCGCCGAGGTGCCTGGCAATGCATCCTGCGCGATACAGCTGGGGAAAGCGGCTCCAAGCCTGACTGAGGAAGCAGGAGACAGTCTGACTCCCAAGCTGGACCTGGAGATGTTTTCATGACCTGGACCTTGCCTTTAGATAAAATAAGTCTTTTGACGCATTTGAATATTAGATAATTATATATATATCCTCTATAGGTGTTATTCTAATGGAGTTGCATCCATTTCATTCCTGAGACTTTTGGATTAGAAGATGATGACAAGCTGTGCCCGAGGCTTTAATGCAGTTGGCTTGCTGAGCTTGGTGCCGTTCAAGACGGCTTGCAAAGGGCCTAGATGCTTCCTTTGCACGTCAGTACACGGCATAGTTTTTTCCGAAAAGATAGAACAGATTAGAACAGTAATTTCCCACTAGGTAATATCTTACTTTTCTATCTTTTGTTGGGTTGCTATATTAGATAATGCCATGTCGATGTTCCATTTTGTTTTTTGTTCGGTTTCTGAAACAGATGCCGTGTGTAATCATGTGTGCACTGCAAGAACGCCATGAGGTCAGAATCTGTTTGATCGTGGCATGCCCCACGCTGCTTGAGACCCTGTCCGCTTTGGATACGGCAGAACCAAATGCTGTCTACATTGAACCTTTGAATCAAGTTTCCATACGTTTCCTATAATTACTAGACATTTGTACTGTAATCCGGCTAGAGATGTTTTGATTGTTCACACTGTCAAGCCCACATCAGGTCACACTAGAGGCCATGGGTGTCTTCCTCGTACACTCCCCAGACCAACGATGATCAACGCATCTCGATGCCACGCGATGCCACCCACGCGATGCTAAGGTGTTATTCTTCATCTTGGCCGCGCTCACCGCAGGGTCTGCAGTACCTTCTGGTCTCCTCATGCCACAAATGGTGCTTTGGCTAATCCCCAATTTGGAGGATTCCCCCAGGGTAGCACATCCAATATATCCAATATATCCATTGATTCCACTGGAACGGCTATAACCCCATTATATAATATCATATAATATCATATAATATCATATAATATCATATAATATCATATTATTTCCCCATGATATCGCAATTGTGTCGAAATTATATCTCCGTTAATATATCCCAATCATATCCCAATCTGCCGCCGATCCAAGGTCATTGGTGGGCTGCTGGGACGTATGTTGGTGAAGAGCCCAGTACCACACCTGAACGAAAGACGTTTGGAATGTGAATCCCGGAGAAAATGGTAGCATACTCTCTGGTAATCAACCGCGGCAATGGACAATGACAATTTCCTATATATAAATGAAGGCTTTAATTAATGGGATTACTGTATCATCTACAACTGATGGATTTTCCATTGCCACGTGTGATGACCGGAGGGTAAGAAGCCAAAACAAGAGATTCGACCAGAAATAAAAGGAGAGTATGGGATAGTTACAGTTAACTCTGGATGAAAATAAAGATAGGCCGTTCAATTGAGAGGCTGACCATTCTAGTAGCAAACGATCACTGCCACTGTTGGGGGGTACTGAGTACTGAAACCATTTGTAACCCTCTGCTGCAGAGAAGTGGCCGATGCAGAGGCGCTTTTGGCGATGAAGATCCCAACGGGCCAAGTTGAAGGAATTGTTTGGGCAAAATCGCAGGGGGCCAGAGTTGGCCACAGGTCGAAGAAACAGCAGAGCTGGAAGCCTTGTTCAGCCATGGCTGATGCTCTCATCACTCACTCTTTCCTGAGGTATCAGCTGCTGTTCGATGAAGGCAGGAGACGTCCTGTCATCCTTCTGTTCCGTGCCAGAACTTGTTAGTGTAGTGGTATGTATAGGGATTGTGGATAGACCATTGTAATATAGGGATTATAATGGATCATCCATGGATCATCCATGGATCATCCTATTTTCCACATTTTTCCAGGACTTAATTGCCGGTTTGCCCGGCTTGCCTTCAGTTGCATGATTCCACATGATCTTGTGCACTTGGACAGAGGTCTCTTGCCGGGTGACCCTTCGATGGTCTTTGGCACCACGGGTCTTTTGGATCCAGGGTCCTTGGCCTAGACCGAACATGACCCAACCAGCTTCGAACAATTCTGCAACGCCGTGCCAGTCTTGGCCAGTGAGGATTGGTGCTCTCATTGGAGCGGCTGCTTTTCTGGGAGGAAGCGGTCGTGCTGCCCCCTCAGCTTAGTGGTCACGGTGACCAAAACTCTGAGTGATTTATTATTTCTAGATATTTCTAGGGGGTTAGGGCGGTTAGGGGGTTATCGGAAGGAAAACCCATCAACAATTTTTTTCTACTCAACGAACTAGTTTCCAAGGTCACTCTATTTACGACGATCATGATGGTGGAGATTACCGGAGACCCAGTCTTTTTGACTCGTTTGAGTGGCAGGGCAGCCTGTGGGTGAGCCATACCCAGATGCCTGGTGCTGCGGTGAGCCTGTTGGTTCTTCGGTTTGTTTGCCACTCCTGGCAGGCCATGATTTTTCTGCAACAAAAAACTATAAAAAACTTGACCTCAATGGCAGGTCATGATTTTCCCAGTGGGCTTTGCCACGATCTTTGCTGTTCTCATGGGCAACTTCATCAATCATGGTCTGTACCATTCGCTGATTGATGCCGCTTGGTCTCAAGGGCTATCCAAGGGAATCAGAGCTCTAGAGGGAGCATCGATTGGCACGTATCATGTCAATGCGGCTTTGGTCTGAAAATCAGATGCCTCATTTTTTTCGCTTGATCATCATTTTCCATGTCATGATTTTTTTCCACAACTGTGGAGAGCGAGGGTTTTCAAGCATTTTCAGACACTCATAATATGCTTCGCTATGCTTCGCGAAAGCTTGGCAGGTGCAATCTACTCCATACTTGCCTGATACCTGGACAGCAGGTGCGCTGCCTCCCGGCATTCAGGTGAGGAGCTCAGGAGGCAAATTCGGACGCAGGAGGACTAACGTATCATACGGCTTGAAACATGCTGAAGCACCAAAAAAGTTCATCAATGTCAGCAAGAAAATTGCTATTTGCATGCTTTTGCTGTGGTTAAACAATATATATATATTATACACATCTAACATACGTAGTTAATTTGATGTGATATCAAGATATATCAAGTATTATCATCAAATCGCGATTTTGCACCATTTGCCCCCCAGGTTGCTATGTGCTTCCCAATTTGATCATTTGACGACATGGCCGAGGTAAGAGATATGCGACCGCAGAATCCACCCATCATGGTCTCCCTACAGCAGGGCCGAAAAGGTGTTGAGCAAGCCCTTGAAGGTGCCCATACCCAGGGCTCGCTTAAAACGCTTGACGCAACGCAAAACAACGTGGTTTTGCTATGTTTTGCTGTAGATCTTTGGAAGATTTTGGAAGTTTAAGCAACATTCGAATAGTAGGATCAACAAAGATCAATAGGGATATATAAAATTGATATATTGATTGGGATATAATATAATATATAGTATCCCTATTGATATTTGATTGGGATATGTGGGAGAAGATTTATCATGGGATCATCATGGAAATATGGCTGGAACATGGGCCAGCTATAGTCCGATGACCACCTCCATTTACTTCGGGGATTTTCCCAAATGTGATAATTAATACCTTCCCCCCAATATTCAACACCTCCACAAATTGACAAAGTTTTGTAGGGGATTATCTTTGAGACATGATGTCTAATCTTAGGCGGATGGGATGATCCATAGTGTATACCAATATCAATATCCCACTGTATGTGATGACATTATATAGATTTATATAGTTGATTGCTATATAACTCTATCTAAGCCATTAATTAATATTCATGAAGAATACTTAATTATACTTAAGTGCTTAAGTCTCACTGGATGGTCTGCTGATGGGCTGCAGCGACCCCCGGCGCGCCGATAGGAAATGACTTCACGGGCTTCCCCTTAGTGGATGAGAGGAGTGATGCCGATGGCAACAAACATGTGGTTGCCGCATCCTCGGGCGAATTTCCAGCATTTGATTCGGATGTGATGGGAGTACTCTGGAGGCTGTGCAGCCAGGAACAGGGTTGAAGCCGCCTGATGTCTGCTGAGATGCTGAGGTAGTTGGAATGTGTGACAGAAAGGATCTTGAGGCACTGAGCCCTCTACGACACTTTGGGAATGGCAACAGGAAAAGAAATGGAAAAGAAACCGGGTTAGCACCGTCTCATACTATACTACACGTAAAATTCACTGTATATGATTACACACACACACACAGATATATATATATATATACGTATATATATATATATATACATATCTATATATATACATATCCATATATTTATTTCTATATACACATATCATACATAGTTATATGCATATCGAAGTGCCATTTTTAGCAAACATTTCGTGCCAGGAACTGCTGCGAAGCGGTCGAGAAATCACTGAGGTGAGGTGGCAGCCTCAGCTGGAGATGGGACTTCCCAGCTGGTAACTTTTGTCAACGGGAGATCTTCAGGATCCAACAGATGGAGGTACCATAATGTACCATATTTTGGGCCATATTTTGTGGGGATATCCCCTGAAATTTAGGCCTGAAAAATAGGCCTTAAATATGGTAGGTACCTCCAATTTAGGTTCCTGCAATGGCCATTGATTTTGCCATACGCCAAGTTTGAAGAATTCCTCGAACTTGCATCCAGCTGGAGTCTCAGGGGGTTCAGCTGTGGTATGCTGTGGGAGAAGCGGGGCTGCTTCTCCTGCTTCGGCTGCCATTGAGGTCACAGTGAGAGATGATTTCCCTTTGCAAAGTGCGTATCAGCTCTTCAAAAGTATGGACAGCTGATGGCCATTCTTCTGGGTATTTTTCGCTTTGCATCCGTTGAACAACGTTTCGAAAAGGGCTCCATCCGTACTCGCACCACGAAGAGCTAGAAAATGTATGAACATGTTTCTTGCAGGACATGAAAAATCTGGTGGTTGTGGACGACAACCACAAACCACTGGCTGTTCTCCAGCTTAGTTCTCGTGTCGGAAATCAGTGCATGGCTGAACGTGCCAAGTAGCATTGATTCGACAGGCAAAATTGCAATAGCCATACGTTCCCAGAGATGGAATTGATTCAAGGGACCATCTACAGGAACCTTTTCCTGTCATTATTTAGGCTAAACACCATTGAAACCCATGATTTCTGGTAGATTTCTGGTAGATTCTCCCCCAATCGACGAGACCCGCGATCCGTTGCTCAGGTCATGACAAGATTCGCCTTTCTGGCTTGGAGAGTTGCAGATAGGTGAGCTGAGTCTGTGAGAAAAAGATTCAACATGTTTCTGTGCCAAATAGAGAACGAAATCCAACAATAGAATGAATCATGTAGCATAATTATTATAATCGAAGGAAGTTTAGAAGTCAAACTTCCGACAATATGGACGGATGGAATAGCAGAGGTGGGAAGAGTCAGCGAAGAGAAGAGAAGAAGAAAGAAGATCAGAGAAGAGAAAGAGTCAGAGGAAAGAAGATTCAGGTGCGCGAAAAGGTAGAAAAGTCGCGATTCACTGTTTTTCCAATGATTTGTGGCTCCGGCGGGTCGAAAAGTAGGCTCGCTAAAGCGGCGGGTGGCCAGATTAGAGATGAGCAATTGCACGCCGTTGTGGCGCGAAGCACATTTCCAAGTCAAAATGTGCAAAACACCAGGTTCGGAGCACTTTTGGAAGTTGAGATGTCGAAAAAGCGCACGCCGTTGTACTACTACGAGCACTAGTGCTAGTGCCAGTGCTAGTACTAGTTCTAGTACTAGTACTACTACTACTACTACTGCTACTACTGCTACCACTGCTACTACTGCTACTACTGCTACAACTGCTACTACTGCTACTACTGCTACTACAGCTACAGCTACATCCACAGCTACAACAACTTCAACTACACTACAGTACATTGCACTACACTACACTAACTACACTACACTACACTAAAACTACAATGACAACTACAACTGCAACTACAGTACGTTACACAACACAACACAACACAACACAGCACAGCACAGCACAGCACAGCACAGCACAGCACAGCACAGCACAGCACAACACAACACAACACTAATTACATCTAATTACACTACACTACAGCTACAACTACAGCTACAACTACACTACGTTGCACTACACTGCACTACACTACATTACACTACACTACATTACGTTACAAGTGCCACTACAACTACATTACGTTGCACTACACTACACTACACTTCACTTCACGTCACGTCACTTCACTTCACTTCACTACATCACACTACACTACTTCACTTCACACTACATTGCGCTAGACCACACTCCACTACTATACTTTTCACCACAGTACACAACACTACAGCACACTACACCGCACTACATTACACTACAGTAATTACACCGCACCACAACTACAACTGCAACTGCAACTGCAACTACACTACACTAATTACATTACACTAAAACTACAACTCCATTACATTACCCTACAACTACAACTACGTACAATTTTTATTACACTACGCTACATCCAGCAGTGTGGGTGAGGTAACCATTGCAGCCACTCCAAAAAAGACAGCGCCAACCACCTTTCGGTCCATCAGTGGATTCGCCCTGCCATCCATGCATCGCAACAACCAACCTTTCCTATAGTGTCCTATTTTTGAAACTTCCGCCACCGCCTTGTGCAGTACTACTGGTAGGTGTGTATTTTATACATATTGATTAAAGAAAAATCGAATAATTACACATACCTGCATGAGCATGTTTCTACCTATTCGGAGGCTTTTGCCCATGTTTGCGCAATTTTCTGGGTATGTGGTAGTTGCAGTATTTTGAGTTCTTGTTTTCAGGGGACATCTTGGCAGAATTCCAGATTGGACACATGCCCCCTTGGTTGTAGACTAGTTGAATCACGTTGAATCTATGAGATTGGGTTTAGCTTTTCCATGTTCAGTGCTCATGTTCGGGTGGCAAGATAGCAGTTATTTGGCGGGCCGACATGCCATACACTTGAGGGTGCCAGCGGATCGCTTGCAAGAACTCCATCATCGAGAAAAACACAGGTACACGTGCCCTGCAGTCTGAGTTTGCCAGTGATGCAAAGAAGGAACAGTGAAAGCAACATCAGCAAAATCATGACAGCTGAACGGAACGAATCATGCAAAAAAAAAATGCAGGGCGCAACATTCAGATAATCCCATCCCACCCCCCAAAAATTTTCCTTCATCAAAGGGGGTCCCCCCAAAAAATATCCCCCAATTTTGGAGGGCCAAAAAATGGGCCCATTGAACTCCTCTCGAAGGCGATATCTTCGCAGCAACAGCAATTGTCTCAGATGGGGTCAGGCTGTAGCATCAGGCTTAATGGATCGAGGCAACATGTATACGATATAGACACCTACACACATACATACACACGCACACACACATATATATACATATATAATATATTATAATATAATATAAGCACATATGCATATATACTACCTTCATATAGATGCATATGTTCATTTTTGCATCATCAACTTTTGTTTCGTGGCAAAATCTGGCAGAAAGTGCTGATTGAAAGAGCCGAAGCCATTCGTTTTTGATGTTTTTTGGATGGCGTTTAAAATCTCCGAATAATCTCCATCCTGCAATGACCTGATTGTGTTTGCACTGCAGCAAGTGGAGCTGCCTGCCCAGCCTGTTGAACAAGGCCGGCTTTCCGGATCTTCCGCGTCGGGATCTGCCACGTCGCGATCATTGTCCCAAATGGAGTCTCAGAATGAAGCCAGGGAATGCCCGGAGCTAAGCTTAATCACGAAACTGATCTTGGAGCGTATCGCTGCGCCATGCCATCGCTAAAACCTACCTGTAAAATCTTGTGCATGACAAGTGGCCATACATCAAGACATGCGGGATCCGTTTTAGCACCTCCGGCATCCCTGACCCGATCAGGATCTGCTGAACATGTCCAAACTGAGCGCGCCTTCGTGCGCACTGGTCTTGGTTTAATGTCTACTGAAAGGCCATTGCTGGCAACCAGCAGGGTTTGCTGAGCTGATGAGATTGGAAAACACTTGGTACTGGCATGTGCCCCTACAGGTTTGGTTCCTATGGAATTCTGAAGCGTTCAACAGGATCAGCCACTGGACTGCCATCCGGCCGAAGGGAAGGTATGGAAAGGTGAGGTACAACGCTTGAAAAGGACATTCCCATCGGCAAAGCCATCCGATAGTGGCGAATAACGAATGGCCCTTGATGTATCTTGAAAAGATCCAGGGAATTGCTCTCAGGAGCTCTGATTAGGACTTTGCCAGAAAGGGCTTTGTTGGGAGGATTGGGATGATTTGATGACAACGACGATTCCGATGACGACGACGACGACGAGGATTACGACGACGACGAGGAGGATGATGATGATGACGACGGTAATGATGACAACAACGATGATGATGATGATGATGATGATGACGATGATGATTTTGACGATGGTGATGGCGACGACGACGAGGATGATGATGATGATGATGATGATGGTGATGATGATGATGACGATGATGACGATGATGACGATGGTCATGGTGACGACGACGACGACGATGATGATGATGATGACGTTTTTTTTAGTTGATAAATATTTGTTTTTTATTATATAATGTTGAGTTGTCCGGGGTGGCTACAGAAGGGTCTTTTGCCAATATCTAAAAATACAAAAAATACGAAACAAATACAACCCAAAAATACAAAATCAGAACTGCAGGATTTGGAAAATACAAGTGGTTGGTTTTGTATTTTTTTTGTATTTTGGTTCCTGATTTCCAAAAGTGAACACGGGGTTGGCTCTCTGGCTTATTTTTGATTTTTTTTTTGGTATTTTGTATTTTTAAAAAGTTTGCGTTCGTATCTTTTTTGTATTTTGTATTTTAGAGCAATTGCATTCGTATTTTTTTTGTATTTTGTATTTTAGAGCAATTGCATTCGTATTGTTTTTGTATTTTTTTCGTATTTTTTTTGTAAAAATACAAAAAAATACGAAAAAAATACAAATAGAATACCAAAGAAATACACTTTGTATTTTTGTATTTTTTTTTTGTATTTTTCAATTACGTCCAAAAATGCAATTTGTATTTTTGTATTTTTTTTGTATTTTTCCAGTCCTTCACAGATTGCACTTGTCCTTTTGTATTTTTGCGTTCTTTAGACATGCCGTCAAAGAACAAAACCGCGAATCCATCAATGTATGTTGTATTTTCCTTTTGTTGATAATTTTGCCCTGCTCAGTGTTGTATTTTTTTTGTAATTTGGAGTTGTATTTTTTTTTGGGAATTTTTAATGATTACAGGGTTCACAGTCTGTAGCAGACCTGGGACAACTCAAATATAATTATTATGGTTGATGATTAAAGATGTTTATTGATGCATGGTGATGCATGATGATGCACGATGATGAATGATGCATGATGATGAATGATGCATGATGGTGATGGTGAATTCCTCGATTACTGCTAATGATGATGGGTGGTAATGAATGATGATTGTTGATGCATGATGAAGCATGATGACGAATGATGACTAATGGACGATGAATGATAGTAAATGATGAGGATGATGACGATGACAATGATGATGATCGTGATGATGATGATGATGATGATGCTTATTATGAATCCCTTCCCCCTATTACTTAACACCCCCACAAATAACAAAAACTAGGGTCCGTGTCCAACTTTGGAAAATTTGAGGTTGGCCAACTTTGATTTTTATTTGATCCCCTTTAGAAGACAATTCAAAAATGAAACTACCATTTCAGGGTTTCACCCCCTAGTGATAAAAACTAGTCAGCGCCGGGGTGTTTTTTATTAGGGTCCGTCCTTTAAGGTCGAGAAAAAATATGGTATGTTGAGGTTTTTAATTTACTATTAGGGGGTAACTTCGAAATCCAATTTTTGGCAATATCTTAATTAGATTTTCAAGGAGATCTAATGGTTTTTGAAATAGAACACATATTTTTTTACACGGGTTTTTAATTTACTATTAGGGGGAACTTCGAAACCCAAGTTTTGGCAATATTTTAATTAGATTTTAAAAGGAAATCTCATCGATTTTGAAACAGAACAAACTAGTTTTTTATATTTGGGTGTTAAATTTACTATTAGGGGAAAGCTTCGAAATCCAATTTTTGGCAATTTTTAAAAGGACATCTAGTCGATTTTGAAATCGAACAAAATAGTTCGAAATCTAATTTTTGGCAATATCGTAATTAGATTTTAAAAGGAAATTTAATCGTTTTTGAAATAGACAATTTTTTTTACATTAGGGTTTTTAATTTACTATTAGGGGGAACTTCGAAATCCAATTTTGGGCAATATTTTGATTAGATTTTAAAAGGATATCTAATCGATTTTGAAATAGAACCAAGTAGTTCTTTGCATTAGGGTTTTAAATCTAGTATTAGGGGGAACCCTAATAATAGATATATACCCACTAATAATAAGAACTACCTGATGTGTTTATTATTTCGGGGGGAGGCGTTTAGTATTACGTAGAGAAAGAAGGGATTATTGTTTTTATTGTCATCGTTTTGATGAATCACAAATACTTATTACTATCGATTACGAATAGTTCCGATGCATCCTGATTTTTCACGTGGAACTATGAATAACTATTATAATAATAGTTATATATGAATAACTATTATGATTCAAATTATGATGCATTATGAACTTACTTTGGTGACCATGAGTGTCCCCCCAAAACCATGGCCCCCTGGATCGGATCTCAAGGTGCCCCGCTATTGTTTTTAACAGGCTGTGGGGGTGCGCAAATTGCAACATTTCCTGTGCAAACAGAGAGTTTTTTTTGTTTTGGTGTTCTATGCCTTGGAAGAGACTTTGATACTTGTTTGTATTATCTGAAGGTTGTTTCATAAGACAATGGAACATTCCCTGAAGATAGAATCCCTTGATGGACGCACCACTTTCTTTGAAGGAGTAATTTTGTACAATTTCCCCTTCAATGCGAATGACACAGTTTGTTAAAAATGGATAAAACTGGTATATTGTTGTTGGATACTAGCGAAATCATTTCTTTCAAGAAACAGGTGTCCTTTGAAGCCATGGTAAAAGAAAACTGACATTATTCAACATAAACACATCCTTAAAACAACAGCGATATATACTGTATATTTATATATATATATATTTATATTATATATAATATATATATGTTATTTTCAAGAATGCTGATTCTTCACAAGAATGAAATACCATTCCGCATTAAAGGAACATTGCAACCTATAATTTTGAAGAAACATCTATCTCACTTGAGAGGAACAAAACACGTTTTGACAGAGATGCTGTATGTCAAAAACACTGCTAATCCTGTGCGTCAGAATATTGTCCTTTTCTATACTGGACATCAATTGACATGCATATTGCATCATATTACACTTCGCAACATGAATCTTTAGTTGCGATGCTTCGGACATTTTAAAGTTTCTGGGCACAAAAATTCTTTGACACATTTCGACATCGCCTTGAAAGACACGAATCTGGAATCTGGCGTTTCCCAACAGAAATTCGTTGGAATTCTATGAAGAATTTTCACGACACACCAGCCACTGCAGCATGTGGCTGTCTTGTTGTGTTGGGAAGTTTTTTAGTAGATTGGTCACATTGGAAAAAAGAGTCAAGGAGACTGGGCTTTTAAAAGACACATTTTGTCTAGTGGGCATGAAGACATATTCTTTGTTGACCTAAATAAGATTGATTACACATTCGAGGAAAAGTGACGCAAGAGTGCACTCCCACAGCGGCCAGCCCTCTTTTTTTTCTCCCCCCAGTGGCAAAGCCACGTTCGGTTGAGGCGCTCTGTTGGATGAGGCCATTAGGCAAAAAGAGTGACGAGATGGGATCCTTTAGGTCATTGGGTAGGAACCAACCAGTACACCGAGGAAGTGTGGGCCACGAGGTTTTGGAGGGACACCGAACAACTCATCCCCGCTTTGTTATGGTTGCTCAAGGGTGTCGCAGTCAATAGAACACAGAAATGGTGTTGCAACAACGCCAGCAGCGAACATTTGCCAACAATTCCTCCTGGCATGTGCCGCAGATTTACGGTACAATGAGCATGGAATATCAATGGAATCAGAAAAAGGACAGAATTTCTCACAACTTTCAGACTATTTCACACTTCAACAGCCATATTCCAAGGTAGGAAGGACTTGCTGTCCAAACCCTTGCCGTCGCCGTACAGAATGGAGGGATGCTGTCCATCAAGCGGATCAACCCGAAACCTGGAAGCAGGACAGTGTAGACATGTCAGGAATGTCATTGCGTGATACGCGTTCCAAAGATAGTTTTATCACATGTTATGTTCTGTCCTCCATCATCATTGGGTATCTCGAGAGTGCTTAGACCTTGGCCAATATCGTCCGTGAATATCGCCACGGTTGTGTCATTGACGCGCCTAAAAGGCGCTGGCCGCGGTGCAGGAGCAGCGGAGATCTTCAAACTTCTCGGAGCAGAAAGCCGGGAGACAAACATGATGCAAGGTGACAGGGGGCATCGGGGGGCCACGGGGCATCCACACCAGCCCAGGGTATGCCATGGCCATGGCATATTCCAAGCTGAGGTGTGTTTTTTAAAGACGATCACTCAGCCTGGAAAATTGCTTCATTTTGGGGATGCTGGTAAACCCAAGGCCATAGGCCACCAAAATCACTGTTGTCATGGGTGCTATGTTTACCATTCCCAAATAGTACTCGTAGTTGTTTATTATGGCATTGGGTCTCCCACATTACTGTCATTACTGTACATCTTTGATCCGTCGGAGGCATACTCTAACGGCTTTGATCAACAGTGATGTCAACCCGGATGATCAACCCCCCTGCGCTGTTGGATTGCGGGAGACCGTTTTAGTAGGAGATGATCACTCTTTTCCGGGGCATCCTTTAATCGAAGAAGGTTTATTATTCCGGGGTTGACATTATCAGGTCACTCTTTGGAGTAATGTTGGTTCCTGATTAGTGTGAGGCCCCCCCCCTCTAAACAATATCTGGACTCTCTTTAAAGTGGAAAGTCAAAAAAAATCATCCCAAGAGAAAAACAAATCCTCACTTAAGTAAGGATTTCAATTGGCTACAATTGAAATCTAATTAAAACTGTTTTTTTGCGGATGAACTTGTGGTACTTGTAGTACTTGTAGTATTTGTAGTACCTGTAGTACTTGCTGTAGTATTTGTAGTTCTTGTAGTACTTTTTCAAAAAAAAAGCTCTCCCACTTTTTTCCCACAAAAGTGAACCCTCCAAACAATACGTTTCAGAATAATTTGGAAAAAATTGCCACAATAGCGAACCTAGCTACTAATCAGAGACCGACATTAGTCAACTATGTAATGTGGGTAAAACAATAATAAAACATCCCCCAGTCATCACCATTTTTATAGGTGGTATGTTTACCATTCCCAGTCATGGGTGGTTTATGACATTGTTTTACCCACATATACCCACATTAGTATACTTCTAAGATGTTCTAAGACATTATCACTGTTTCAATTTTTGCAAGCCAACTCCTGCAGCGTGTCGGACGGAGCTGCCAAACATAATAAGGGAGGTTAGGCAGCCGGTCCCATTTATATCACTACACATCATTCAAATCCGCACTGTAGAAATGACTGTTATATAGATTTATAATGATTTATATAGATATCACATCGATATCATAGTTTATAGATCTATTGGCTGTTGTGATTCGGAATACAAATGATCGGTTCTGCTGCTCAAATGATGAACGCAAGTGCGCCAGGAACATTTCAGTCATCGCGCAGTATTGGAAAAGCATGCAGCACCTGCGGCTCGGTACCTGCAGAGTTTTGTTTTTGCATGGTGCCACATTTTATCAGCGCCTGCGATCATTTTTGCATCCAAGGCGATCTCTTCCCTGGTTCACGCCATCTGTAGTGCCCATCGACTTGTTCTTTTTCCGACGGATATTTTCTAGGCGCGACATGCCATGGCCCTCCAGGGCAACCGAAGAAACTTAGAAGGATCTCAAGGCATGGCCCACTGCTTATCTCAAAATAGCTATTGAAAATGGTGGTTTATAGTGGATTTACCCACTCAAAATGGTGGATTTTCAACAGCTATGTTAGTTTAACCCTCGGTGCCGTGCCATCTTTTTTTCGAAAGCCAGGCTGTACAGCTGCTCGGTTGCAGTCGGGACTTGGCCATCGTGTCGATGCCGGGTGATTTCTGGAAATTTCTTGGGAAATTGCCTCAACACACTGAGATGTGTTTCAAACAATTCTTGGGATTGGATGGGCTTAGTTTTTCGCAACCTTTGGTGTGTTTTTTCGTTGGTTTTTCCGGATCAACTTCAAAAAATACCTAGGCTTATTCCACCAAGCATGTTTTGCACTTCAGCCGTGTGCGCCGTGTGCATGGCCGAGGTCAGCACGGCGATCAGGGAGAAGTTCCAGTGAGCGTTTTCCAGCGCAGCGTGGTGAGATTGTTTCGGCTCATGAAGATGGACCGACAGGTGGCCGCGTCCAGTCGGGCCGAGATGGGAACATCATCGGATGGGTCATTTTCCATCGCCATGGTACTGAGAAGGGCCGCACTGGGGATATCATGGGGGTATCGTTTAGGATGGATTGTTGGGATATGTTGGGATATGTTGGGATATGTTGGGATATGTTGGGATATGTTGGGATATGTTGGGATTATGCATCTGAAATTGGGATTTAGGATCTTTGTTTCTTTACAACCACCCCCCTAGTCATGAACCTTTTGGCCAGCAACAAACATGCCAAATAGGGATAAACAGGGGCATATCGCCATTTCATAAACTACAACCGTTGGGCAATAGGAGATGGTGACTATTGTGGAACCTCATGGAACCTCTATTGATGAAATATGATAAAACAAAATCATTCATAAATGGTGATTTTTCATGCGGTTTATGGGATATTATTTTCAATGTGATGTAATGGAGATCGACTTACGGGATATTTTTGGGAGATTTTTGGGTTCAAAAACCGCTGTTTAGGAAGATGTACTCTCTGGTAAACTAACATAACTATGGAAAATCACCATTTTTGAAGGGAAAATCTACAAACAAATGGTCATTTTCAATAGCTATGTTAGTTTACCAGAGGGTACTGTATTCAATTGTTCCGAGCAATCGCTCCGTGAATCAGAATCTCAGCGTGATCCGTAGGCCGATGATTTCTCGGCGGACGAATATGATGTGGATGGTTCTGGTGCTGTGGGCTGGTACGAATTCGTGACGGTTTGGCGGAAGGCGGTGCCTTGTTGGAATTCGTGACTTTGGTGCTGCCAGTGAGATGTTGACATAGGCTTTGAAAACGGTTAATTGTGGATGTTAATTACACTGGATGCTGGCCCAAACGCACCAACGGTACCCTGACTTGAAGCTATATCCCCTCGAAACTTGCGTTTCTTGCTGGAATTGCAGCTACTGCATGAGGATGTCTCCGTCAAATTGTCACTACCCGAGCGCTTCTTTGTGCTGATGGAAGAGCCAACTTCATCCTTTGCTGGGGTTGTTGTGAGCAACTTGATGTGACGGGCTGCAGTGACATGGGAAGATATGGGAAGGGTTTGACATTTATACTGTATAACACCCCTGGCAACATAATTATTGCAGTGCTATGACATATGAAATATGAGTCACTCCATGTGGATTTCTCTGAAAAAATGAAGAACAGGGCTACAAACCCCCAAAGTCGACAGTTGATAATCATTTCCCCCACATTTCGCTGGCAGTTTCTGGTAAATTTTGGTGTAGATCATCATTTTTCGCCCCTAAGCTTGGCATATTTGGGTATATTTTGCTGTCATGATTGTTCTGTATCCCTCTTTTTAGAACGGAGCCGACCATCGATCGCAGCCGACAAAGGCGCGGCGCTGAATTTCTTGATTTTTGGCTCCTGCGCCCGCCAGCTGCACATTGGAGCCCCCATATATGATATATATGGCCATGAAATTATTGAACACATATGGAATGATGAGTCTTCAAACATCATCAAGAATCATCGAATGTTTTGGACACCTTCCAACGGTTTCCGGAGCCAAATTGCAAAATATTGGAGATGCCGGCGTGTACCTTTGACAACTGTAAGTTCTTGGCATCTCTTGGCCATCCCAGGTTGGCTTCATGATCGGCACCATGCCAGATATGAAGACTGCTCCATGTGATCGTTGCGAGCCTGAGCAAATGAGGCCGTTGGTGTGGCAAAGTGTTACCAGCTTGGGACGTACGTGACGTATGCGTTTCCTCGGATCATCTTGAAACAACAGTTTTCTGAAGTTCTGAAGTTTGAGTTTCTATCATCGGAATCCTAGATCAGATCCTTGGGCTCTTTTGGCTGTGCTTGATGTAGCCAAGAATGAGGATAAGGCCCATGGCAGTGCAGCTCTTCATTTTGGTCGTGCAGCACCTTTATGCCTTGTCCTTTGACTTGCCGATCAATTTTGTATGTTTTGTCGTGTTAGTAGCCTTTCTGCCATCGCAGGGAGTTCAAGGTCTTCGAATCATTTTGTGTCGGCGTATTTGCGCTCGAGCCACTTGTTCTACATATTAGTCGGCAATGCACGGGAGGGAGCAGTTGGTCCAACTTCGTATGTCCAACTTCGTATGTCCAACTTCTTTTGCTTTCCTGCTTTCGAAGGAGGGGGTCTGAATCTCCAACTCTTTTTGTCTTGCAGCTGCACATCAAAAAATGCGCCAGCTGCCAGCTTCCCGAGGTACTTGGTTCGAGTGTGCACTGCCCCCTTCACACGATCTGAACTCTTGCACTACGAATCTGTCCTGGAGTTTGTCACAGAACACCAGGAGTGGGCCCTTTTCTGGGTTGATAAATGTTGGTAAGATAACCCCCGCAACAATAGGGGCTTTATAAACCGCCGTTGTTGGTGTGCATGAAGGTTGATAACCCTTCGATAAGGTCTAATGATGTCCAATGTATTTCTTGCAGATCGGGAGTAGACAACGATTCATGCCCTCATCATGAATGGTGAATTCCACATGCTGCGAAACCACGGTTGAGCGTGGACATGACAACGGCAATCTTGTGCGATGCAAATGCAACGTGTTGACACCAGCTGGGGAATCTTGAAATGACCGTGCTAGGTGTCCTTCAATCCTTCTCGCTTGCTGCGATTTGCATATTTTGTCATTCAGCCAATGAATTTGATTGACCTTTTCGTGACTTGGCAGAAAGCTGCGGTTTTGCCTGCTTTTGTTTGTCCCATATCTATAAGCAGAATTTAACAGAATAATCTTATAACTTAGTTCTGGTGAATGATGCCATTGATGGCTTGTCGCCGCTTGTCGCGACCGAGGTGATCGTTCCTTTCTTTGTAGAAGCAGCGCTACAAAGCTCAAGCGCATCCAACTTCACCGTTCTTCGCGTCCTGCGTTTGACGCGTCTCTTCAGACTGGTAAAGTTAGGCAAGTCCTTCGAGGTCTTGCAAATCATTGGGCGAGTCTTCCACAAGTCCATTGCCATGTTTTGGGTTTTCGCGGTGAACTTTTCTTTGGCCATGTGCTTCTCAGCTGCGACGATCTACTTCGTGGAAGGTGGCGAATGGGATCCCGACGAGATGAATTGGATACGAATTGGTCATGACGGTGCCAGATCGCCATCGCCTTTCCAGAGCATTCCACACTCCTTCTGGTGGGTCATCGTGACTTTCACCACAGTTGGTCTGGGCCTTACGTTGTGTAAGGAAGGTCTGTGTCAGGAAGAGACGTAGGAATTATAGGAACCCGCTTTAGTGTAATGCACCTCACTTGTGGAGATTAGTGCAGATGTGTATCTGGAGGAGATTCGCGTTAGTAACGCAGTGTTAAATTTGTTTGGAGTCCCGAGCCGTATCTTTCGCATGCTGGTCGCATGCTTTTACATCACCCCAAAAAACCGAGGATATGGCGATGTGGTGCCCGAAACGTTCCTGGGGAAGATGATCGGTGCAAGCAGTATGATCGTGGGAATTATCGTTTTAGCCCTGCCCATCAGCGTCATCTCCACAACCTTTGGGGATGTATGGCATGAATGGAAGGAGGAGCTTCGTTTAGATGCCAAGTCCAAGGAAGAAGACATGAAGAGCGTGGAGCTGGCCCTGCAAGTGATCCAGAACCGCACCTTTATGCATGTGGAGATCTATGACCATTTTGAGCGCTATCCCGCTGAGTTGCTGGGTCAGACTGAATGGAAGTCTTTGCCCATTGATTCCAAAGAGAAGGTCGAAGTGGCTGATGCATCCTACAGCTTGCATCCGTTCCTTGGCAGCCTTGGCACGGGTGCTTTCGGAATGGTGAAGCTGAACTGTGTTATTGTTTAACTTTGTTGAATGGCGCTACTTGTCAATCGAACGGTTTAAATATACTCCAACAAACAATGAAGTATACTGGTCTGAAGGCGATGGGGAGAGAGAGAGAGAGAGAGAGAAGAGTATAGTATATGTATGTATGTAATTGTATGTATATGTATGTATATGTATGTATATGTATGTATATGTATGTATATGTATGTATATGTATGTATATGTATATGTATGTATATGTATGTGTATTTATATGTATATGTATGTATATGTATGTATATGTATGTATATGTATGTATATGTATGTATACGTATGTATATGTATGTATATGTATGTATATGTATAATTAATGAAATTGACATGCCTCGAGCATCCTCAAACCAAGGAATGAAGAGAAGGGGCTTGTGGCTTCTCGTCCTGAGATGTTGTTCATCGATTGAGCTGTCATGGCATTTCTGAAGTCAGTTGTCTCATTCCTCAGGAAGGTGACTTGGGTCAAGTTGTGGTGGGCTACACCTGGACTCCTGCCAAATATGAAGCCGACGACGATCGATACGCGGGCACTTTAAAGGTGTGACGGGGTGGGTCTCCGAGCGGGTTAGCATCGAAGCCAAGCAGATCTAAGCAGACTGAAGATAGGGATGAGGCTGGTATGCGGTTGGTTTCACAGAACTTTCACCTGGACAACCTGGACAACCTGGAACCTGGACACCTCTGGTACACCTACTGTATATCCTTTGACACACGCGATCCTAGCACAGAAACATACAGAAACAATCCTCCAGAGAAGCTAAAACAAGGACAAAATTACATGGGAAACCGTGTCTCTTCGCCTTGATGTTTGGAATATGTTTGGTCCATTTGAGTCCAATGTCGAGTACCTCGGAAATCCCCGAACTACATGGAGGTTTCGTTCGCTGGGGAAGTCATCTATAATCTATAAATTTGGTGGATTTTCCATGACATGTTTTTTGTGGGAACAGGCAGCAGAATGATTTCCAAAATTATTCTGACCCCGTCTGACCACAAAAATTGGGAACTCATATGAAATCAATATATACCCTCTGGTAATTTAACATAACTATGGAAAATCATCATTTTTAATGGGAAAATCCACTATAACTGGCCATTTTCAATAGCTATGTTAGTTTACCAGAGGGTATATATATATAATCTGACCCAATCATCAATGATTTTCCATGCGCCAGGTCAGACTACAACGAGCTGAAGGACCTGGCGAAAAAGCCACACTTGGGGAAGTGCATGGCGGGGGCGACCCTTAAAAAGGATCAAAAATCATCCGATGATGATATAGAGAGTTGATTTGAATATAATATATTATATATATATAGTTTTGTTATATATAGTTGTAATTAGTTTTGTGACATATATATATATACATATCATATATATTTATAACTATATATAATATAGTTATATATATACAGTCATATATATATAGAGTTATACATATAGTCATATATAGTTCAGTTATATATAGATATGTATGTCTAAATACAGAAAATAAATAAATAAATACATAAATAAATAAATAAATATATATATATATATATTCGCGTATGGATAAATATGTATATATATATATATTTGATCACTGTTTACAGCCAGCATATGGTAGGACATCAGCAGCCTAGAGAGGTGTTACAGGTGTTACATAGTAGGAAGGGTGTCCTTGGTTCAATGATTCAAGTGATTCAAGGGGCATCAAGGGGCCGTCCGATCCACAGGAATTCTGAAAAGCGATTGGAGAAAGGAAGGCCGACGAAATGTCTTTGCCGTGGTGCGATGTTGGCCGAAGCCTCCCAGAAGTGGATGGACACTTGGCATATCTTGGCATCCCAAAAGGCATCCCAAAAGGCATCCCAAAAGGCTGCTGTATTGTGGTCTCTCAACCTACCCTCTGGTAAACTAACATAACTATGGAAAATCGCAATTTTTAATGGGAAAACTCACTATAAATGGCCATTTTCAATAGCTATGTTAAATTACCAGAGGGTATCCATGCACATTGAGCGCCTCAGGATGGGCCAAGGCTTTGATCAGCAGCATTGCACCAAGATAGCGTGACTTCCGCTGCAAGCAGCGCGATTTTTCAATACAGCAAGCCCATGGATCCCATGGTTCACATGGATTCTGCAACTTCCGATTTGGTCAGGAAATGTCAGGAGTCAAAATCTCCTTTTTTCGGGCCAAGAGTGCCGTCGTCCCAACAAGTCCAAAGATTCTTTTTTTATCAACACTCGCTGGAGAACAACCGCTGTGACTCTGTCGGGGTTGAGCTGAGGATGGGCACCTTGAGCCCCGTTTGGGAAGAATCCTTTGAGTTTGACTTCGACTGGCCCCGCGATTGGAGACCGCAGAAGGTGACAGAGGTAGAAGCGCAAACGCGGAGTCGCTCGGTGAAGAGACGCCTAGGTTAAACGTTCAAATAAATGTCATCAAAGATCAGCAAATCTTACGCAGTTTTATATGATTACACACATATATATAATTATATATATATATCTATTGTATTTATGATTATCATATAATATAATGCATATCATACTGTACTGTACGACATATATTTTTTCATTATATATATATATTTATATAGTTAAATAAGCACAAAATAGAACAACTGAATTTACATCGACGTGTATACATACATATGTATGCAAGGCGATGGAGAGAGAGGGGGGACATACACACACACACTATACACACTATACACAAACACGCAAACATATAAACATACAGACATGCAGAGCGCAGATGTTTTCGGGCGTCGACCTGCCATGGTCCAGCTTGCCACTTGAGGCCGTGTTGAGATATCACACCCAATATCTCTGAGGACGATGGGGGGATGCTTGAGCCATGGTCCAGCTGCGTTTGAAGGGTTACCACAGGATACCACAGGAAGGGGTCTACCAGGGAGCCAAATTCAACCATAGCTACAACAAATAGGATCTGGTTCTTCGATACTGATGGTAGATATTGGTATATTCTTACCAGTCTTAGCCAGTGATTTTGGGTGGTTTCTCTTAAAAACAGCCAACAAAACTATCAAAACTGGGCCGCAGGAGAGGCAACTCAGCCACCTCCAACACCTCCATACGACGGTCCAAGTCACAGGCCTGGAACCGCTGCTTCTGTGCACAGCCCGGTGCCGGCGATCTGCATCTGATCTGCAGGTCCTGCGCAGAGGGATTTCCCGATCTGCAGCCTCGCACTCAGCAACAAGTTGGCAGCTTCGGATATATATATATAATATATACATATAATATTATATTATGTTATGTTATATTATATCATATCATATTATATTGTATTTTATACTTCTGGCATATAAAAGAAGGATCTAATGAGAACATCAACATTGCTGAATTCCCCTGGATAGACGCAGGTCCTAGACGAGGAGGAGGAGCCGGACGTGCAAAGCCGGCAGGTCATGCGACTGAAAGCAGAGGTGCGGCCGGGTGGATTTCAGCCCCTGGATGTAGAGGAGAGTATTACACATCATGGTCAATAAGGGAAATCATCCCCAAATGGCCGCACTATTCAGGCTAGTGAAATAGTATAATTTACGCAGATAAATAGATAAACACATGAATAACTTAGATAGATACATATATATATATATTAAGCACATTGTTGCATTGGCATGCGATCAGATGCGATCTGAGATTGACTGCCCCAAAAAGCAATTATGAGAAAGTGCGGAAATGTACAAAAGTGTATAGAGATTGACATGTAAAGGCACAGAACTGGAAGAAAAATCAACTTTTGGCCAGGTCCAATTGTCCAACTCTCACACGTTTGATCCAGATATTGAGCCTTTTTACTGAAAGGCAGCAGGCAGTCTGAGTTGCACACAGGAATCATAGGAATCCACTGCACGGATCACAGGTATCGTCGATGACTCGCAGCCTGCGTCGTTTGGAAACTCAGCTGGTCGACTTGCTGGAAGTGCAAGGTGCCTTGGCGCAGGGTCAATTGGTGGTTGGGATCTTTGAGAATTCCGTAGCACACGTGTGCCAACTGACAGTTGGCAGCTTTACACCAACGACCTCAGGCACGCCGCAAAATTTGTCAACCACGCTGAGACCGCAGATGATGGAAGCACCATCCAGTCCAGCCTGTGAGCCACCACCCTTCGGAAGTCTTGGCGTGGACGGTCCTTTGAGCCCACTTAGCGAAACAAGTCCGATACAAAGCCCCAGTCACAGCCCGGGCTATGGCGGCTATGACAGGTCTGATCCTCAGATTGGCGATGTTCCGTGGTCTCAATTCGAATCTGGCAGAATCTGTGGGATCCACGTTGGCTGCTTAAGATGCCATGCCGGGGTTGCCAGGAGCGTGACCTCCAGACTCTCCGACCGCAGCAACGAATTCGGCGAGCTCAGCCGGATGTCAGGGCAATATGGATCCCAGGCATCCCAGGAATCGGAGTCTGAGGGGCTCATGTGACTTGGCTCATTTGGTACTTGGCTGCTGCGTCTGAGTCTGGGGAGTCTGGGGAGTCTGGGGAGTCTGGGGAGGGGCCGTTCAGATCTAAGGCTGCCTGGATCTCCTGATGACCTTCGATGATGGAAGTTTCACCTCCTGGGCTATTCAAAATACCCAGGGAAAGTCCTCACTTTTTTTTTGCACCACCCAGACTCAGGCATCAAGCAGTTGTGGTATGGATTGCTATGGCGTGTGCACATGGCGAGCATGAGGCAACCCTCAAAATACTCCTGAGACCGATCTGGAATTGTTCTTGCTGTTTTATGATGTTTTATTTGAGTTGGGTGCTGGTGGAATATGAGTTGTTGAAGTGAGGTGCACCGAGAAATACTAAATACCAGTCAGCACCTCTTCTGGTCAGATGCCAGTTATGCTGGCCGGTTATTTGGCGTTTTCACGCGTTTTGGACTGGACAACCAACCAATGCGCAGCGCCGGACTCAAACCCAGCGTGACAGGCAGGCGACAAAATGATTCAGCTGGGGATGGTGTCCACCGATTTCTGGTGATGGGGATGGTGTCCACGGCGGCCACATAAATCACCGACATAGTGACATAGTGGCCATAGCTCTTGTGGTATGAAACGGTGCCCGGAATCTCTCAGACAATGTCGACGCACCGGAAAGTGCTAGCGCGGTCGCAGCAAAACAATGAAAGGATACCACTAACTTAACCCACATACAGACATAGACTTGCACATCACTGTATATACACAATAGTAAGCCTCAATAAGATAGAAGAGTAACTCTTCACTGTTACTTCCCTGTTTTAAATGTAGAAACACAATGAAACACATAGAACCACCATATAAACAGCATCTATACATCTTGGCTCTTGGCAGGCAGAGCGTCGTGCAGCTGGCCAGGAAGAGGTCCTGGGAGTGTCACTTGGCGATGGAGATGGCAGATCTATAGCTCAATAGTATAAATTCGGGGATTTTTGATTGAACATCCCAACCAAAAGAGATCAAAAGAGATGGAACATCCACTCGGCTGACATGGCTATACTGTGGATGTTTCACGTTGTTTGCGGTGCACCTACGGTGTGAGGTCGCATGACCCTTGTCATGTGGATTCACTGCCACTGAGGTTGGGCCAGGGAGTTCAGCAAATGAGGTCAGAGCAGGCTCGGCATGCTTCCGAGCTGAATGACAACTTGCGAGCAGCTGCCTGAGCTTCCTTAGAGTTCTTAGAGTCTCAGCCCCCGATGCAGAGAACTGCCATGGCCACACTGAATTGCGCAACATGGGCTGATCATGGGCCGTTGCCTTCATTGTTGCCTTCATCAAACTCCACAGCTGAGGCTGAACAGAGACGGTGGCGTCAGATCCCTAGCCGGAGCGGCCAGCATGGCCGACGTGCTGGGTAGAGTAGGGGATATCCCAATGAAAATGACAAGTCTGGGAAAACCATGAGGAGTTTCAAATGAAGAGACAATCCCATCCCCAGATATTAAAACGAAATTTCGCTTGGGGTGTTTTTATCCGCTGGGTCCGGCAATCGGATCACAATTCCATTGAGGACAATGTATTTCTGATGCGCAAGCGCAACAGGGCGACCAGCAACGGCACATCGAAGCGTAGTTGGCTCAGCGTTTAGGAACCCCAAGAAGATCAAAAGTATACCTCCTACTAAAATACATGTCTAAATGGAGTGGTAAATTACTATAAGTATCATTAAATATCTATAACTAAATTACTTTTCTAATTTGTCTATTCTTTTGGAGGGTTGCTCTGCCCAGATTCTGGTTCCGTGTGCAAGCAGCCACAGGCTAGAAGCGCGTCTTGACACCGCTGTTGAGGACTCTTCAATTGTTCGATGTGGTGATTTGGAGTGCTTGATAATGCACGCAAGACAAATTACAACATACTTGTTGACAATGCAACGTTTGGCGAATTAGTGTAACTTTTCCAAATGCAAAGACTTGCAGGCCCTAAGTTTGGAGTACAAGAACTTGTGTGCTGCTTTGCCAAAGATATTGCCCGCAGTACGCAACTCAGTTGTGTTGGGAAACCCATCTACCATCAATCAGGTGCGTCCCAAGCTACCTTCCCAGTGCCTAAGGTGAGCAACACACCCAAGAGTGCAGTGACACAAGGCCCATTTGCGGCAGCTGTCAACTGGTCCACCTGTTTTTGTTGGAACATGGGGACATGGCAGGCTCGGGTGCCCATGCTGCCCATGGTGCCCATGCTGCCCATGCTGCCCATGGTGCCCATGGTGCCCATGGTGCCCATGGTGCCCATGGTGCCCATGGTGCCCATGGTGCCCATGGTGCCCATGGTGCCCATGATCCCCATGGTGCCCATGGTGCCCATGGTGCCCATGGTGCCCATGGTGCCCATGGTGCGCATGGTGCCCATGGTGCGCATGGTGCCCATGGTGCCCATGGTGCCCATGGTGCGCATGGTGCCCATGGTGCCCATGGTGCCCATGGTGCCCATGGTGCCCCTTCCCAGACGCCCAAAGTCAACGGCCTGGAGTACGTGGAGCACCAGATTCGCCCGGAGATCCAATCCGAGCCGGACCTCAGGCCCTGCATGGTGCTGAGCGCTGGTGGAGTCCTGGGGACGTCTGGGGACGTCTGGGTGCGAGGTCGAGCCACCATCCAAATCCAGATATTCTGATGCGCTTGGAGGCGGGAAGCTGCCTAGATTGGAGGATGGTCATCAATCCGTTCATAGGGATTTCTATGCCCATATTTAATAACCCAAGGATTCCCATTATGGGATGAATGACCATACCCAACATACATCAATTGAATATAATTGAATCAACATACCATGTTTGGACTCGGCTGGATGATGTGGGGTACTCGCAGGCCTTGGAAGGGCGATACAGGGAAACACGAAGCGCGGGACTGAAACCGGAGGAGTTCAACATGCTTGGACCGTCCTGAGTCAGTCAGTATGCCGAAATGCTTTTGTTGACACCTTGTTGAAACTGCAACAACCCATTGCCAACATCAGCACACATTTTTTGTGGAATCCCGCACTTGCAATCGGTCAGATATCCAGGACAGGGCAGTTGTTTCTCCCAGGTCAGGGTCAAGCATCGCTTCCCAACTCTCCAAGAACTCGGGCGGCACCCGCAGAGGTGCGCTTTTCACTTTTTTTTGGGGGGATCAAGGTCCTCAATGACTATCTACAACTATCTATATATGAGTATACTGACTATCTAATATTTCTCGCCTCTCTCTATCTCTATCTATCTATCTAGCTAGCTATCTATCTATCTATCTAGCTATCTAGCTAGCTAGCTATCTACCTATCTATCTAATTAATCTAATTAATCTAATTAATCTAATTAATCTAATTAATCTAATTAATCTAATTAATCTAATTAATCTAATTAATTAATCTAATTAATCTAATTAATCTAATTAATCTAATTAATCTAATTAATCTAATTAATCTAATTAATCTAATTAATCTAATTAATCTAATTAATTAATTAATTAATTAATCTATCTATCTATCTATCTATCTATATTAGTACTTGTATATGTGTATATATATATATATGCATATTTCTCAGAGGGGTTGAAGCCACCAGGAGCAGTGAATTTGTTTGGGGATCCGGCTGCAAGCTGATGTCCGTCGCAGCTATGTCTCAGGCGGCGCGGGTTCCGCGGGTTCCGCCGCAGGCTGCAGCGCAGCAGGCTGCAACGCAGCAGGCTGCAACGCAGCCGGCGGAAGCTCTGACAACTACTAGGAGCCTGGAGATAGCTTTGATGTATTGCAGCTCCAAAAGAGATAGAACAGTAATTTCCAAAGCTAAAATATGCTAAAATAGTGATGATATGTGATGATCAACATTGATAAGCATTGATAAACTAGGTAGGTGGTTGATTCGGCGCCCTGTGAAGGGTTATCGATTTCAAATGATTTTAATTTCATTTGTTCTTTGCCATTTCGATGGAAACGTGGTATTTGTGGCATTTTTGAGTATATGCCTATGAAAATTCATGTTTCCGTTTCGATGGCAGGCACACGACTTTCGATTGAAAATTAGTATTTCCCTATAGCGGAAGTCTCATTTTCTGATTGAAGGTGCCAAAAAAAAATCCTTGGAATTCGAGTGGTTTAGTAAATGATTTGTTTCCGCAACTGCAGGAACCTCTTTTTTCAACATCAGCGCCGAGGATGTCACTTAAGTTCTTCAAAGTCCAACTGTTTTCACAGTTTGCATTGTGCCACCACATATAGGAGTAGGCATACTTACAGCGCATTGGATTCGCTTTGCAGCTCTTTTGTTGAAAACTCTCAGGACGCCATTTCTTTAAATGACAAAAATAGAATCCAACCGCTGCCTGCCAGCAACTATCGTCCGAGAGCGTGAACACATCCCCACCCCACCCCAGCCCAAGACCTTCAACGTAACATCCACGACGGAAGATGTCCTATCAAAACCGTTAACGCATCCCCACCCTATCCCAACCCCAGACATTCAAAATAAACACACCTTCACAGGGCGCCGTATCAACCACTTTTGTTTTTAGGGCTTACAGTAATGAGCGATTGGCATTGATAGCGGGTCAACAGCGAGTTGCTGCTTGGATTCTTTCGGCCCATTCCCAGAGTCAGCGGGCCACTGCTTGCGGCCTACTGCTGAAACTCTGTTCAGGCGAGGCCCAAAAGGTCAGTCAAGATTGTCGTTTCTGGATGCTTCTGGTGGGACTCAGACATGGGTGTTATATATACATACATGTATATAATGAAATTGCATCAATATGTATCAATATGGTCGTGAATACACCAACAAAACGGTGCAAATCAGTCACATGTGGTACTTATCGCTCAGGTGCCATGGCGGAAGAAGATGAGTATGTGGCCGGCACCATTGCCACCATCGGCAGCCTCATCACGAAGCCAAAGATGACTGAGAAGTATTTGAAGAAGCCGCCATTTAGGCGCGGTGCTTTCTGGAATTTGACGGTTTGAAATTTAAAATGCGAAATCATCATTTTTGAGAAGCAAATCATCTATAAACGGGCCACTTCCATAGCTATTGTGAATTACCGGAGGGTAAATTGTTTTTGTTTTGGGAAATTCATCGAAATAAATGGATCTAAACGGAGGACTTTCGAGCAATGTGACAGATGACACCGGAGGGGACATAGTTGGTTGCGCTAAATACTAAGTATCATTTCTAGGTTTTGAACAATTGATTCATGGAAATGGATGGCCAGAGGATGTACTGTGCTGAAAGAACGTCTTTCAATACTGGCCCAGGTTTCTTCATGACATCGTGATGGAGGTGACAAAGAAGACGACCTTCGGACAGGGGCTCTTCACTCCGGAAGAGTGTGATTCTGGGAACCTCTCCGACAAGCAGGCCAAGTTGGATTTTCTGAACAAAGCCATCAGTGTGACTTGCTTCGCTCTGGGTGAGTCGATCGACGTCTCGGCACCTTGGTGTTGTCGAAGGGGCTGGGAGGATATGTGTTGTGGGTCTTTGAATGTGTTTGTATGGCTTGTTCAGATGATGCCGGAGGGAAGAATGGGAGCAGATACCAGAATGAGAGCCGCAGACCGGATGTAGACAACTGCCAAAGCTGCAACCTATGACATCCCACGACATGTCATAAATCAAAATGACAATTTCACAAAATTGTTCCCTAGAATTGCTCTGGCTCCTGCCAAGTTGTGATGCTCATGCAATGCTCATAGGTCATAGGGGTATTGGCTGCAAAGTGTGCGCTTTGCATCCCTGGTTCGAGAGCTTCAGCACACCTTGGGGTTTCCCAAGCATCTTTAAGCATCCTTACTCTCCTATGACATGGTTAAACTATGTTTGACTCCACAAGATTGGAGCTTCATTGGCAGGTTGTGTGTTTAATGTGTCTACATCTCCGTACTTTCAGAATCGAGGCCAACAAAATCGTGGCTGGACTGGAGCCAGAAAAGACCAACGCATGGCTGCAGAGGCTCCATGCTGCAGCAACCACCTGCGCTGGAGAGAAATCGGATCAAGCCGTGGCCCGGGTGCAGAGTGGGGAGCTGGTGGGAGCAGCCAAGGAGAAAAAGAAGAAGCCCAAGGAAGATGCGCCGCCACCTCCACCGGCTGAAGGAGGTGATGAGGATGAAGCCAAAAAAGAAGAAGAAAGAAGGAAGCGGGCTGAAAGGAAGAAGCGAGAAGAGGAGAAGAAAAGGAAAGAAGCTGAAGACGCGGCCGCTGCAAATGAACCCCCAGCACCGCCTGCACCCAGTCTTGATGATGAAGAGGAGAGGAGGAAGGAAGAGAAGCGTCAGAAGGATGAAGAGCGCCGACGACGCAAAGAAGAGGAGAGGCGTCTACAGGATCCTTGGCCTTAAACTGATTTCAAACTCACGTACAGATACGTACTGTATTTTCATGTTTCGTACATGCTTGTAGGACTTCATACCTAGTATGCGGCTCATGGCCTTATGACCATGTTTCTTCAATGTTTGTCATTTTTTTTACATAAAACAAGTATTTGAAATTTGCCACATTTTGTCCTACCGCATCTGCGGCCAGGAAGAGCAGAGGCGGGCAGAAGAAGCTGCAGCAGAAGCTCAAGCGGCTGAAGCCCGCGCTGCGGAAGAGATGCGCCGTGCCGAGGAAGCTCAAGCCATTGCAGCGACCGAGGATTTCCAGGAGCCTCCACCAGCTCCTCCTGGGGCGATGTCTGAAGGACCTTTCGCAAGTACAGATGAAATTGCCCAACGGGCAGAGGCTGCATTGGCACAGAGGGCTGCCGACACAGGGCGGCCGCGCACGGCAGGAAGGAAGCCACCCAAAGTGACGTCCAAGGTGACGACAACTGAGCAAGCCACTGCTCCCAGCAACGTGGCAGCTCCAGTGGTCATTGCAGAAGGTGC